GGGAGGACGGGTCATCGCTCCCTGCTGCCGCGGGCAGAGCCGGGCTGTGTGCTTGGAGCAGCCCTCGGAGAGATGTCAGATCTGGGCCCTCTTCTGGGAGATTTGCTGGGGTTTGGGGTTTGGTGGGTTTTTGGGTTTTTTTTTCATTTTGTTGGCCAAGCAGCTGAGCAAAACACCTGGCTGCGGGAAAGCGAGGACGGCGCAGGGGCCCCCTCAGGGACCGGCATGCAGCACACACGGTGGCAGTGGGGAACAAAAGAGAGAACAGCAGGGATGCAAAAAAAGGGGGAGGGGGGGGAGAAAAAAAAAAAGGAAAAAAAAAAAAAAAAACATCGCTCCCTGCTGCCGCGGGCAGAGCCGGGCTGTGTGCTTGGAGCAGCCCTCGGAGAGATGTCAGATCTGGGCCCTCTTCTGGGAGATTTGCTGGGGTTTGGGGTTTGGTGGGTTTTTGGGGTTTTTTTTCATTTTGTTGGCCAAGCAGCTGAGCAAAACACCTGGCTGCGGGAAAGCGAGGACGGCGCAGGTGCCCCCTCGGGGACCGGCATGCAGCACACACGGTGGCAGGGGGGGAGGCAGTGGGGAACAAAAGAGAGAACAGCAGGGATGCAAAAAAAGGGGGAGGGGGGGGAGAAAAAAAAAAAGGAAAAAAAAAAAAAAAAAAGGACATCGACAGCCTTGGGACCCCAAGGCCTCAGGGGAGAGAGACAGTGCGAGGCGCCACAGCACATGTCACAGGAGACAGACAGACAGACAGCCCCGTGCCGATCAGATACGTAAAATATCACCACTCCGGGACCCTCACTGACCTCTAACTTGTTGCTCCAGGTTCAGTATGACTGATACGGCCTGGTGTAGGATTAGCAGTTTGGTCTGCGGTTTTTCGCTGTTTAGGTGGAGTTGGCACATGCGTCCGAGCTCTTTAAAGGCCTCGTTGATGTCACGGACCCGCAGGCGCTCACGGGCATTATTGGCGACCCTCCTTTCTCTCTCTCTCTCGGCTTTTTGCTCTGGGGGAAGAAGATCGTCCTCCTCATCCTCATCTTGACTAATGGTTTAAAATAAGAACGAGACAGGGACATTCCTCGCGTGCACTCTCAGCACTGGTCAACTCACAGAAAAAGAAACACACGTCGAGGCACCGAGACG